TGATAAATAATAATACGGTGAATAATTTATAGAAATGAGACAAAATGAGATCACTGTAAAACATTTTTTGGACATACTTAGAAACAAAAAAAAAACACACACATACACACATTTATTCAACATAGTATACTATTCAAAATAAACCTCTTTTCCAGATTTTTAATGAATAATCACCAAAAAAAAAAAAGAAAGGTTTCAAGATTTGATCATCTATAGCGCTATTTTATGTTTGATTATGGGAAACAGACATAGCTGATCAACTGAGTTACCTTTTGGTTTTTCATCTTTCAGCAATACTGAAATTGTACAGTTCTGATACTAAATTTACAATTGGCAGATATTCCGAATAATCATAGCAAACTATTGTTAAGCTTAAAACTCGCTTGAAGTTATTGCAAAACGGCAGTCTACTTTCATGTTTTGAGCATCAAATTTTAAGTTTCTATGCTTACAGTGTAAAGTAATTAAAAAAAGAAAGAGCAAAAAAGAAACATACAAATCGGATTATTTGATCATAAAATTTTTCTAGAGAATGTATCGCAAAGAAATCTTTCATAGGTACAGTTTGTGTAATTAAGGCGAAACCTTATTATTTTAAAAACACTATTCTTGAAATCTTTGCTGCAAGCAAGTTCAAAAAAAATTTAACATTTTTTTGAAACTTTTATGCAGAAATAAAAAATTTCTTTTGAAAATATGTTTTTTTTTTTTCTGTGGAACCCGAAAAGTTACTGCACAGGAATACTTTAAAAGTAAAGATTTTTGACGAAATTTTAGTGAGTAAGCACTGATCATTTAAAAATTGCAAAGACCAGCAATTTTTTGGTGGACAGATCAGAATAAAACAAATTCTTTTCAAATCTACAATTCTAAGACAGCTTAGTCTAAGCTTCTTTTCATACCTTTCTGGGTCACCGATCTTAGCCTACTGCGCTGAAGAAGTCAAGAAAGAAAATTTCTTACTGGGTTTTAGAAAAAAATCTCTAAAATTTTAATATACTTACAACAGATCGTCAAAATGTACTTTATTTTTTCTATTGATTTCTTCATAAAATCTGTTGCATGTCACAACTATGTTATGTGATTATTAAAAATTTGAAGCAGTTTTTTGAATAATTTTCAGTTCTCGTTGATTTATTATCTTGATTTGATAACAAAGATTTGATTCAGAACTTTGCCACAGAAGCTGATTTGTCAGTTTTGGTGCACTGTTGAAATGGAAATTCATTATGAATGCGCGGTACAGAAACAAGGAGGTATCTTACAAAATAGAGATTTAGAAAGACCAAAAAAAAAAAGCCTTAAATTTGTTGAGGAGTATCGTAAGTGTGCTAAAGTAAGTCTAAAAAGTTGTGAAAATTTATAGTCAAAAGGTAAGTTTATAACTGCTGTCAGCAGTTGCCACACTGCGATAAAATAGTTTTGTGCAATCTTTTCGTATACATTTGTGTTTCTTAAGTCTAAGTTACTCATTTCTTATCGTATTTTATCATATATTTATCTTTTACATTATTTCTTTTCTTATGTTATTGATGTAAAGCTAATTTTTTTTATGTGTAGCAGTACCTGAAATAAATAAACAATTTAAACTAT